CCACTCCTGAAGAAACAAACACTGACGGGATAGCTTCCACTGCGCAAGATCCAAAAAAAGTCGAAACAAAGACCGAAGAAACTGTGCCATTAATTTGCTCGACAGACCAATCAAAGACAGCGTCCTTAGTTACATCAGGAGACACCCGATCACGAAGAAGAATTTCACAAAAGCGTGGTCAGAAAAAATGGGCTGGATTAAAGAAGAGAAAGAAATCCTTTACAGCTAGAAAAACTGAGGATAAAAACAACACGGTAAAGGAGAAGCTGACTTGGCAAATATCAACAGATGAATCAACAGGCTGCAGGGAAGGTATTTGAATGTTTTTCTTATCCAGTCAAGAAGATGGTCTGAGGGAAGACTTCTATATAAAAAGGACAGAGGTGCTCGTCGGAGAGAGAAATACCAAATCCTGTTTTGTGGGCGTGGCTTAAATATTTTTTCAACCTTAAGAGGTTCCAATACTAAAAGAACACATTATCTGACGCATTCATAAATGATAATTTTTAATGGCGCTGAAGATGACTGCTTCGAATACGTTCTACTCGTAAAGTTGATTTTCAAATATCTCCTTTCAAATTGTTTTCGGCTCAACACTCTTAAAGCTACCACGAAAGCTCCCGCTATGGACCTTTTGAGGCTGGGCATCCTAACCGCATTTTAATCACTGAAATGTACGTCGAGCGCCCTTGTCCTTTTCATAAGGGGACCCTCCCGGGGAAGATGACCGCCAACCCCAATCATAGGGAGTTTTAGCAATGACGACGGCGACGTCGTGGATCTGTTCAGTATGCCTATCGGTCTAAACACCTGCTCAGGACAATGGCTGTGCACGTGCGTTTTGAATCTTTGTACATTTCATTGCCGTCCTCTGCAAAACAACAACGTGAAATGACTAAGGTCTATGTCTTTTGGAGAACGCGAACCGCAATGGCTAATTTTTGGTATCTTCTTTTGGAACTGAACGCTGTCACTACATCTTTAACCTGAGGTTTTTAGTCCGATAGGCATACTGAACTGATTTACAGAGCTGCAACATTCGAAGGTAAAATATAAATTCATTTTTTACAAGGCGTCATCCCCGTCGGCGTCGTCCCCGTCGCCGTCGTCATTGCTTTAACTCTCTATTCATCTATGCCGGGCGTAGTCTAGGTAATACTAGGATGTTTAAGTGACTCGATTAAAAATGAATTTATATTTTACCTACGAATCTTGCGATACTCTAAAGTCATCCGCTTTGTTTATCACTGTCAAAACTATCACAAAACTAAATCTGGAAAGGCCACGGCGATAAATTTGAAATAGAAATTTTAAAAAATAGCAATTGTGGTTTAGTTTCTCAGGCAACGCAGAATTTGGTCATTTTACGTTGTTGTTTTGCAGAGGACGGCAAATAAATGTACCAAGAATTATAACGCACGTACACAGCCATCGTTCTGCTCATTAAGCCTTTTGTTTAGAGAGGTTCCCGTTACTCTTGAGGTCGTGGTTTTCTTAAACACCCTACTGTATCGTGAAGTTCTTATGATTTTTCTTACTTTTAAGTGGGATCCAGTATTGCCAAAGGTTCATGTCAACCAGTGGAGGAACGCTACCAGACAGTGGATGAAGATAAACTAGCACCTCTGAAAGAATTTATTGTGCTTGGAGGTAACGTTATATTAAAGGCCGCCGCACACTAGCCTATTCTTTGTCGGCCGACAAAAAATCTTCACTTGTGAAAACTTCATAAAAAAGATATCCTGAACGAATTACCAGTTAGTTCCATGATTTATTTGCGAATGAAGCTGGTCGATTAGGAGACGATTATGACTAAAATATGGACAATGGCTCGCTTTCGCGCGCCTCGTTTTTCTGCTCAGACCTCGTTCATCTAAAAAAAAATTTCACGATTTGCAATGTTTTCAGGTATGTTCAAAAATTCACCGAGGAACAAGTTAAAACAGAGAAGTTTGTTGTCACAGTTCACGCTGTCAAACAGAGAAGAAGTCGGCTGCGATCCCTCAAATGGGCGACTGAGTTTTACAAGTTTTTGAAGAACAAGTAAGAAAAACCAACGTGTGAACAGGCCATATTCGTGTTTTCGGTATTGGACTGAAACTAGCTTGCAATAGAAGCCCATGCTAGGGAATATCATTAAAAGCCTGGATAAATGTCATTTGTATTTGAAAAGACTCCTCACATTGGCCTCAGTTCCAGTCCCATACGGAAAATACGAATATGGTCTACTGAATTCATGACAATAAAAATGAACTAGACCGATTAATTAGGACGCAAAACAAAGTCAGTGGAACCATAGTCAATAGAGGGGAATGGTTATGAGACCCGACAAACGTCTTTGTTGTTGGTTTTTGTTCGCTTTTATTGCCTTGACCGTGCACAAAACACAATAGTTTGTTTACTCCGTACTGAGGAACTAACCAATAAAAATGTTTTGGTTACGTAATTCATGCATAGTGTATGAACGCAAAACGAAAGGTTGTGCACGGTCGTGGACCTTCCAAAATAAACCTTGGTGTCTTTTTTTGCTCCTTTGATATTTGCCGGGTTTCATAGCCCCTCCCATCCCATTAACCATGGTGGAACAATCACCATTTGACAGCTTAATTTCTAAGCAACAAGACGACGTGCGAATGCCATTCGACATTGAAGCTTCCCACTCAGCTTCATTCGTGCTGATTTTTTACCATTCTGCTGTGAAATGAGAAAGATCGTAGGAAAGTTTATGTTCGAACCCCAGCTGAACCCCTTCAAACACGTACAGCTGCCCAAACTAAATCGAGTAATTTTTACCTCTCCATCCCGTCAAGGAATTCTTGGTTTGATTATCTATTAACTCTAATTTAGACCTGTTTTCATTTTCTGTTTTTTTTTTTTTTCACAGCTATCTAACCAGAATGACTCGTTGTGTGGTCTATAAACCCTCTTTTAAGCTGAGAGCATTGGTGATCCTTTCACACCCGTTCTTTTCGTAAGTATAGAAACGCAACACATAGCCTACTTTATATTCGGTGCACAACCTTGTATTCAAACTTTGGTTTTGTTGGACTGTCCGACCGACCGACTGACCTATCGACCTACCTACCGACCAACCGAATGACTGATTGACTGCGCGATCCACCCTCAGACTAACCGGTAAACAGATAGAGAAGACAGACACAGAGACAGCTGACAGACTGATAGAGAGACTGCCTGACTGACTGATGACTCACAGAAATGGTGAACGGTGAATGAGCAACAAACTTCGGCATATCTAATCTAAAATGTGGCATTCATTAAAATAATGTAAAATTTTGTGACAGAAACTGCATGAAGGAAAAGATTTTCATCGTGAAAAGTCACAGAGACTTCGCCAAAGCCCAAGGTGAGGATACTAACACAAACTTAGAAACAATGCTATTCATAATTAACTCCAAATTGCTAAAATTTCAGTTCTATCAGTTCAAACCACAGAGTATTTTGCCAACCAGGAACATAACTTCAACAACAAACCGGAACGTGCAAATACAATTGAACGCTGTGGAAAATTTGTACCCCGTTGTAAACAGCAGTAATGTTTATTAAATCGCGATTCCAGGAAAACGTTTTGTTTTTTTCCCTTAGGTCTACCAGAGGGCGATCCAGTCTCATAGTCCAAACAACGTCAAAATAACTGATGTTCCTAAACTTCGATGTTATCTCAATTGAACTGAAATTTATCTGCTTAACGACGGTATCAAAACAGACCCACTGTACCTTTGCTAAAATTAAAATAAAAAATATTTTATTGCTATTCCGCCTGTGTTCTTTTAAGATCTTTTAAGGTTACCTAACTTTTTAAGTCTACATTTTAAAAATTTGTTTGCATCCGCTGTCATCTGAATTTGACATAATTATTATTTAAACGACTATTAAAAGCTCTATCAAGTACAGGCCTGATACCGTAAAAATTCCGATAGTAACAAACTCCGAAAGTAGCGGCAATGCCACCTACGCGCCAAAAATAACGAGACCAAGGTTTAATAGCACGGTATATTTATTTCTCCAATCAATAGTCAAGTGAACAGGAAAATGACCTTTCCTTCGCATTAAAATTTAAAACTCTTCATGTCATTTTCAACAGGAACGTACGTAATAACAGAAACGTTCCAGCTTCAAAGAAATTGAAAAATCGGCTGATTCTCCCATGCGGGTCCGGTCAAAGCAGGAGTGCACCTGAGGGTGTGTGTGTGTGTGGGTGCAAGGAGCTTAAGGAGGAGGAATAGAGACTCCTTGTTTATACGATGTCACTGTGAAAAAAAGGAAGGAAGGTGATTAGAGGGCTCAGAAAAGAACTCTGGGAGAAACTTGCACAACTTGTGCCTACAACAGACAACACGTTGGACACATGTAGAGGCCACATCATGTTATAATTAGTGACATGAAACTGGAACAATGACGAATTTTATATCGTTTCCGGAAAAATGTTTTGTTTAAGAAATAGAAAACATGTACCGTATTTCTATCGAGTTTTAGTAGAATTCTACTAGCATACATACACAAATGCTGTAATCTGATTGGCTGAGCCACTGAACGTTCAGTAGAAATACGGTACATGTTTTCTATTTCTTAAACAAAACATTTTTCCGGAAACGATATAAAATTAGTGTGGCTGGAGGTCGTCTAGGAAATGGCGACGTTTTTTTCGTTTTTCCAAAGATTTGGAGGAAATGTTTGATGCAAATGGATAATTAAATTCCTGAGAAGTCTAAACGAAGGACATCTACGGTTTCTTGACTTTCAAAAAAGTTGAAATTATTGAAAAAACTGATGCGCGCGTGCACACAGCTTCAATTTTAAAGGACAATTCAATCCGAGCGATCTTTTTCAGGTGCAAAGTTTCATAATACGTCAAGAAATAACTGGAAACCGTTATTTGAAGTAAATTATAGTAAGAATTCTACTAAAACAATTAGATTATTCGCTCTCGATTTCTATGAGGTGATAGTTGATTCGGCCTTCGGCCTCATCCGACTACCACCTCATAGAAATCGAGAGCTCATAATCCAATTGTTAAATAGAAACACGAGTGGCAGTTTGGGAGAACGAGAAATGCTGTGGGAATACGAGCCGCAGGCGAGTGTTTCCACAGCTTTTTCGAGTTCTCCCAAACTTTAACGTGTGTTTCTATAACTCGATAGAAACACAGAGAACATGTTTTCTATTTCTTTTAGAAAACTTCGCGACGAAAAAAAGTAAAACAACTTGTTAACTTTGACTATCAAAATGTAGATTCTCTTTGTTCGCGCCATCATTACATCAACAGCTCGGGCTAGTTCTGTGTTTCTATCGAGTTATAGAAACACGATTTTTAGCCAATCAGCGCGTGTAATTGCTATCTTATTTTCGTTTTAAAATCTCAGTTGAACCGACTTTGTATAACAGTTTTTGCTCGCCGAAAGCAGTAACGACCCGAGGATAGTAGCGACCCCCCGAAAGTAGCTATAGACAACCCCAAAGACTGCTAATTCCGAAAGTAACGAGGGTCGTTACTATCGGAAGTTTAGGACGGTAGTAAAGTTACAAGACTCCACAAAGCCACGACAAGCGGTCTCGGAACAGTTGGTCCCGGTAACCGAGCCAACCCTGCAACAGGGCTCATATAAAGAGGCCCTTATATACTTTTGCTCTTCTTGTACCAGTCTCTCGAGAGAATACGTGACGTCATGACTTCCGCTTCCACTTTCGATTCAGGGAATCAACGGAACTTCCACCGTTTGGGAAATTTCCCTGAAGGGACCCATGTTTGGCTGTGCTTTTCATCCATTTTACTAGTATCTCAGTATCTCCAAGTAAGATGCAGTCGTAACAAGCGAAGGTTGATTTTGGCGCATTCAGCTGGGTTATCATTTAGAAGGCAAACTTTTAACCAAAAGTGTCAGGTAAGAATTCAGTATCTAGAGTTCATCTTGCTAACATTGTGGTGAAACGCACGAGCGCTCGACCAAGGATGACATCGAAAAATTGTAGTTAAGTTTGCATTGGTATCGCTAGCTTGGTACAGAAATAAATCAGCCTGATAAAAATGTGTTAGATTACAAGGCACAACTGGTATGCCACTGTATGCATAATACGTATTCAGTACAACTAGAAGATGGGATCGACGATGTGATGAGTGAAACTGAGTCAACCCTGTTTAACGAAACCGCTACCGCAGCTCGATTAGGTCCTGTAGCTGGTGAATATAAGGGGTCTAAAAAAATCGGAACTAACTTGCAACCGCGGTACGCAGCTCGTATTTGGCTAAAGTCCTCTGAATTTCGCTTATAGAACGAATGATTTACATTTGGCTGTTGATTCAATTCTTATTTTCGCTCCGGGAGCGAGGATTATACATTTCACTTCTGATTTTGTGTTGATACATTTTCCTCTCGAGTACGTCATCAAGTTATTTGGTGTGCTCGAAGGAGATGAAGAAATGGCCTGGTTTTCTGAATTTAACTCGGAAATCATTGCATGGTTGTTCTTTAGACATAACTTGTTTCTGAATTCAGGGTCCTCGACGGAAACTGACGTCTCAAGACCGAGATATGCCTCGGGTAGCCTAAACAAACATACGATCTACAAGATATGGACTCTAAGTTCGTCATCACCATACATCCCACTGTCAACCAAGTGATTATTCGGATGTGGTTTTCTATATGTAATCACACAGGCCCGAGAGCAATTATGGATTAATTTCACTTGTTTTCTCGAAGTTTTGATAAAATTGCCCGGGCCGCCGCGACTTGGGCAATTTTTTCCGGTCACCTCCCCAGTAAGTAAAACATTTGCGTATCTCGCACTTGTTTTGCGCGCGCACTACGCCATTTGCAGGTACATGTTTACAGTTGGATTTCAGTATAATATTTTCGACAGATAACAGCTAGTAGAGACATTAACAGTAAGTGGTTAGAGATGTGCTGCTATTTTGGTGTTCCTGGTTTTAAGCACAGGCTCATTAAACTTGATTTGGTCACAGTGGGAAAATACACCTTTTGTTGTTCATTTACAGAAAACAAACATTCATTTGTGTCCAAATTTCTTTCATTATGGTCATTAAACTCTCATTAACACCACTATGACCTTCATTTGCGTGTAAGGAACGTTCAAGAAAAACATTTACATATGCATTAACATTCAAAATCATCAAAAGAAAATCAATACCTTCATTTGACATTCATTGACTGTAAATGTATTTTCATTTTGGTCGAAAAAAAA